GGAAGAAACATAATGGACGAAAGGATGGGAGTCGCGTGGAGCATCATGCGGGTGTGCATAAGAAGGAGGAGGGAGGAGAGGGACAGGTTGGATTCGGGCGACCTTGTTAGACAGAGTTAGGGGATAATTGTAATGCCACAAGATGTCGAAAGGCGTGTATGGATAGTCAAAAGCAATGTAGTAGATGTAGCACCTGTTTGCCGAGCTTACGCCTCGTCGACCACCACTGAGTAAACCAATACTCTCTCATCCCACTCGGGTCCATAATCACCAATCCATCTCAATCGATAATCTCTTTGCATGTCCCCCCCTCGATTTGCCACACCTCTCTCGACACCGGCCATTCTCCACCTTCACTACCAATAAACCCATCATCCCATCTCTTGCTTTATTTGTCATCAACCTCATGGTATCCCATTCAGCTCTGGTGCCAGGTGGTGATGTTGCTTTGTCAGCCAACGCCACGCCGCGATGGCTAAAAGTTTGGCTTTTGGGTGGGGCCTGCTTGTCGGATCGCCGATGTGTCCTTGCCAGTTTTTTGAACTCTGACCACTCGCTCATCCTCTCTATCTCTTGGACTTGAACGCGTTGTGGGTGTGGGTTTGACTTGTTAACGAGTACACGACACGCGTTATCCCTTTTTCGCTGCATTTCTTGTGGACGGCGCGAACGGTTTGTGGACTGTGCGGCCCTGCCGTTGAGACTGTCTCGCTAACCATTCCTCTGTCTTTATCTCTATCTAGACCTAAACTAGTCTGAATATACAAATTAGATCTGAACTATCAAAGAAGCTGAAAAAATTCGACCGGCCATGCCTCCGAAACGCAAGTCGACAAACAGCACGAAACGAAGCTCGACAGCCGTCAACAACGACTCGCCCTTAATCCTTTCTGATAGTTCTTCAGAGGATATCGTGTCTTCTCAGTCACCTATCAAGAGCAAGTCAGCCCGCTCTGCAAAGACAAATGGTGTGGCAAGTATGGCCAATGCAAAGGGCAAGCTGACGAGGAGTTCGACGCGCACAAGCATCAAAAGTGATCAAGTACGAATCTCTTCATACGTTCCTTATCACTGTATTCTTTTTCCCTTTCTGTGTTGGTGGTTTACGCGTTAGTCATGGTGGCTGATACAAAACTTTGGGTGAAATAGGTGAACGGGAATGGCAAGCGCAAACGAGTTGCTACATCCGAAGAAGAAGACGAAGATGATGAGGATGAATTGAGCCGTGAAGTTGCAAAAGGAAGCAAGAACAGTTCGAACCGGCCATCCCTCACCAAGGGTCAAAAGACCCAAGTATTCGAGACGCCTCCTAGAAGGACTGCAATCGCAAATCCGAGCGGAAAAATTCCGTATGTCGATGTGCCGAGGAGGGTTAGTGGACTTAGTCGAGTATGTTCTCTCCGGCACGCTTTCCATGCCACTTGAGTGCTAACGCCTCCCCCTCTCCAGACCAGTTCTCTCACCAACGTTAGTCAGAGTAGTGGGACACACAGTCGTCGTCAATCCGCTCTCGTAAGCCACCTTTTCCAACCATGTCCTCCTACCACTAATACTACCCCTAGGACTCCCTTGCGCGCTCACGTTCACGTCGCACCACGATCTCTACACCTGCTACACCAGCTTCTAGCGAACCACCTCATACATCCGACGGCGAAATCTTAACCGACGACGAACTCCAATACAAAGACCCGCTCGAGTCGCTTTCGGACGATGTAGAGAGTGACGAGAGTGTCTCCGAGTTTGAAGCCGATTCGGTGTCGGAAGGGAGTGGATTGGATATTGGAAAGATGGGGTTGGACGACGATAGTGATGAGGCGAGCGAAATCTCTGAAGTCGAGTTTGTCAAGAAGAACAAGACCGTGAAGAAGGCACCCGTAACCGCTAAGAAGGCACCAGAGTTCAAGATTGGAGGGTCGAGTTTCGACTTGGGCAAAAAGGCGTCTGCGTTCAAGACGAATGGCAAGACCATCACCCCTCTCAAGCGCGGAGCAAAACCTATCAAGCCGACAGCCCCCCCTCTCAAACGCGGCACCAAAGCTACCAATGGAATGGACGTGGATGAAGATGGAGAAGGCCATGGAGTAGATACGGACGACGAGATGGTCCAAGCGGCTATTCGTGCGAGTTATGCTACAGCCGCTCAAGAGATCCTTCGCGAATTCTCGAGTGGAGGAGCTGGCCCTTCTGGCTCTTCCAATAACAACGATCGCATGTCGATGAGCGTGTCACCGGCCAAGAAACCGAATGGGGTTACCAAAGGAAAGAAAAAGGCCTTTGTGGTCGATTCGGACGAAGATTCGGATGAGGTGCCGTTGGTGCAAAAGAAAAAGGTTGCGAAGGGCAAGGGAAAGAAACAGACAATTGAGACTATTGATCTTGAAGATGATGATTCGGATGACGATTTCAGGATGGCTCCTCGAGCAGAGGACTCGAGTGCGAATGGGAGTGTTATCGGGGATGGAATGGAAATTGATGAAGACGAGGAGGATTTGGAGGATGATGATGCGATGATGATGGCATACCAACGCCGTTATGAGGCGGACAAGCAAGCCAAAGTTATCCAAAAGAAGGAAGAGGCGCAAGAGCGCAAGCGTCTGGGCAGAAAATTGACTTATGTAAGTCTTGTCTTTTCATCTATATTTTAAGCATAGGAAGAAACATAATGGACGAAAGGATGGGAGTCGCGTGGAGCATCATGCGGGTGTGCATAAGAAGGAGGAGGGAGGA